AAAGAAGAAAAAAGCAAGAGAATTCTCCACTGCTCCTTTCAGATGTTGTGAAGCTTTGTGAAGCAACAGGTATTTAATCATTACCATCATTCATGTTTTGTTGTTACATGAGAATCAAAAGAGAAAGTGATTTAGTTTATAATTCAATAACCCAGATATAACAGCCATGAAAAAGGATTTTGGAGGACAGTATAAGATCTGATTTAGAGAAACGATGGAAGAGATAAGTGAGGAACAAAACAAGCTTCAGAGAAAGGAAGAGGAAAGCTGGGGAAAAATTTGAAGCCATTGAACATGAATTTAACAAGGAGGGTTTCTACTTGTTACTCATGATGAGCAGAGTTTGTTGAGATTCAATGGCTTCAAATTTTTCTCTATCTTGTCTTTGCCCTTCTCTTATGCTTCTGTTGCTCTTCACTTGTTTCATTCATGTTTTCTCTTAATCATTTCACGCTTCCCTCCAACTTCTTTTTCATAGCTTTCTTCTATGGGGTGTTGAATTAGGACAGTATCAGAATCTCTACTAGTTTCCATGTAACATTATCATCTATACAATGATGGCAATGATTAAATGCATGTGGCTTCATCTTTCCCAGATGATAAATCTTGTTCATCTACTCTTGGAAGTCTTATCACATCCAATAATGAAAAAGGTTTGTATCCAAAGCTGCATCAATGTTATGAAATTTATCATTATTTGAGATGTACCTTACTAGCAAAGCCAAAAGAGGAGAGAATCTAACTTAAGATCCTAGTCATTCTGATAACTTCAAGAATACGCTAACAGCTTACAAATTATTGAGATTCCAACCTTTCCCCCCTTAAGGCCTTAACAATGATAGGCATAGTTGACTTGACATCTGAAACCCATGGAAGCAAAAGTTTCTAATTTTAAGGAATCAGAAATCATGGAATTCCTCAAATTAAAGCACCAAAAATAGAACCGACAAAACACCTTTATAAGAATGGGAACAACTACATCAAGATTGATTTAGCATGATCATGTGTTCTAGCTCTTAATGAGGTCTTGATTCTGATGAGGATTCTGCAACTGCAATAGTTTCTGAAACAGAGGATTCTAGAGCAGATTTGTTTTGCTGTTTTGATTTTCTGTTCAGATAAAGATAAGGATAAGGATTAGCTTTCCTTGATTTTCTCCTTTTATTTGCAAACTGTGTAACTGCTTCACATC